AGATAGCACTTCCAAAAATGAAATGAAACGAAAAATGAAATTAAAATTGATGGATAGTGTAAGTTTTTATAATTTACCAGGGAGTGTAAAACGAGTAGTTAAAGAGACGTGGTAGAATTTAGGGAGGGATTAATTTAATCTCTCTCTCAAACATACTTAGTATTGGGGGAGGTGGAGTGACCAGACCTTGACCTATTTAGATGGTTAACTTAACGGAAGTGATATATTGAAATGGGAGGGGAGAAGGGAGAAAAGAAAAAGGAAAAAGAAAGAAGAGGGAGAGGGAAGTAAAGAGAAAGTGGCTGTAACTGGGTTTTAGCAATTTACGTAAAGAATAGATTGTGATGCTTGATAGAAATTTAAATGAATAAAATATTTGATGTTTGCTATCAATTTAAATATTTCTTTTTAAACAAATAGTATACAGGCTTAATATATGATAAATACTATATTTACGGGATTACCCATAAGGATTACCAAGTTCTGCATGACTTAATTATATATATATATATATATATATATATATATATATATAACCTAAAATAAGTTATTTTAGTGTATCACTCTACTTGGTGTATTGAGCACTTTACGTAGTTGTCTTTTTACTCGATTTGGGTTTGTTTTTTTTTCTTTGGACTTTAAGCTGTAACACTGGACGATTGTTTTCGCCCTGTTTTAATGTTCTTGGTTCTTTCTTTTTTTTATTTCCTATATTTCCTGGGCTACTGATTTGTTCTGCTGCATGATGAGCTATCCGAAGTTTTTCCTACTGAGTTACACATATATATATATATGTGTGTGTGTGTGTGTGTGTATATATATATATATATATATATATATATATAACTACGGTTAAATGGAGTTTGGTTAAGAAAGCTCGTACATGTAACTCCCTATATACCCCATGTTACCTATGCCTTAATGAAAAATTTGAAATTATTAGATTTAAAAACAAGGCTGATCTCTTAAATCAAAGATATGAACTTACAGTAAATTGTAAACACCGTTATAAATTTAACTTAGTGTAGGGGTCGTATACTTTAAATGATAATGATATGTCGCTGTATTTTTAATAGATTAGTACTTTTATTGCATGATGGTCATACTTACGATATAAGTGTCTATTGTTTACCTGCATAGTGTTATTAGTGTTGGTGTAAATGTGTATATATTTATTTATGTGTTGGTTAGAGTATTTGCACTGAGGAATGTGTAGGTTGGTGTATAAGTGTATTTATGGGTTTTTTTTTGTTTTTTTATATATGTGTGGGTGTGTGTGTATGTATATATATGTGAGTGTGTGTGTATATATATATATATATATATATATATTATGTGGGAAGGTATGGTAGATTATAAGAGAAAAGGTTAATAATTGTTGCTGTATATGTGTATGTGTGTGCCTATATATATGTATGTGTGTATGGTTGTGTGTATATGTATTTGTGTGTGTATGTGTGTATATGTATGTATATATGTATATATGTAAATATATATATGTATGTATATATATATATGTGTGTGTGTGTGGTTATATATATATATATATATATATATATATATATATATATATATATATGCATGTATATATGTATGTATTTGTGTATATGTATGTATGTGTGTGTATGTGTATATGTATAGATATGTATATGTATATGTATGATAAAATCACGGCAGTATAATAGTTGGCCAGCATGGTTCGCTAGATTAGGTGCGACTGAGTAATGAGTTCGTTCCTCACTGGGTGCCCCCTAATTTCGGCTTTGTGCCACGATATATTTGTATCTATATATATGTATGTGTGTGTGTATGTGTGTATGTATGTGTGTATATATATATGTGTGTATATATATATATATATATATATATCTGTATGTCCTATTTTATTGTGTATGTGTATTTATATTTAAGTATATTTCTGTTTGTATGAATGTGTTTATATATTTGTATGTTAGACTATATGTATATTGCTGTGTGTTGGTATTTGAAGCTATATTTATGTATCTATATGTTAGTACGTTTATATATGTATTTGGTTGAGTGTTGTTGTATTTTTATGTATGCATGTATATATGGGTAGTTGTTATTGTAGATAGATATATTTATATATATGTTTATTTGTAGATATGTATGTATGTGTGCATATATGTTTATGTATGTTTGTGTATGTATATATATGTGTGTGTGTTGGCACCTATTATGTATGAGTTTGTTTGTGTGTATGTGTGGGTGTGGAAACTTTGGTATTTCATGACTGTTTTTATATATGTAAGTATGTGTGCATAAAAGTCTGTGTGTATATATGTGTGTGTATTTAGGTTTATATGTATATGTGCGTGCATGTGTACTTGTTATCATAGATATGTATATGTGCGTATATGTTTAGGTTTATATATTTATTTGTATGTATTTCTGTATGTATATGTATGTATGAGTGTATATTTATGTGTGTTAATTTGTTTTTGCTGCCGTGTATATATATATATGTATATATCTGTGG